AAAAAACAATGACGTGGTTATCCCATCATAATTGTTTACATTGGTTTATTATGTATAATCATGAAGCTAATGTCCCATAGTACTCTGAAATAGCATTATTTTGTGTGTTACAGTAAAGCTTTTTTGGGAAATGTGTCCGATTCAATTATTTCTTGAAAATTGCTGTTTTTAGAACAATTCTATAGATCACTATGTTAAAAATTGCATTTTTTTGGCACTTTTTGAAATCCAGATTTTTAAAATAATTCAGAACAACAAAAAGTACTACATCATTAAATATATATGATTTTTTCAGTCTATGTCAACGGGCTAGATTTTGCATAATATTTCTGACATAGGAACATGTGGTAAAAGTGTTACATTAGTGACAAAATGGCGACTTTCCACTAAATACAACCATCAATTTCTCGAAAGAATGGCTGGTGACTTTTTTTATATTATTATATTGCCTTGGAGTACAGTTTATTGCAAAATGAATACATTCTGGGTACTAGTATTTTATTTTATGAATAGGCTTAACAACACTGGAAGAGCGTCGTAGAAGGAAAGACATTAACCAGATTGCTGATACAATCTGTTTTTATATAACAGTGCTGATTTAAACACATACCATCTCAGTGGTAACTCTACAAGTGATTTTGAAAAGAAAATTCAGAAATATATTAAGAATAATTCATGACAAAATGTAATCCATATGCCGTGCAAACTATTTCATAATAACCGGTTAAACAAGAATATTACAGAATATTTGTTATATTCTCTATATTTGTGTCTTTTATTTGTTTTGAATTATGACTGAAAGAAGATGAATGAAATGATAAAATATGTAGTGTGTTCGACAACTCATGTATGAACAATATTGTATTTTTCTGCATAAAAACGAAAACATTCCACAATGTCGATAACGGGAAGTCTTTATCGTAGTGTACATGGTTTCTCCCATTTCTGTTTATTGCACGTTTGTGGACTCGTAGTTAGCTTAAAATGATTGAATATAAATATACGTTTTTCGAATACAAATACAAATATGAAAATGAATTTAAATACGGATTTTCTCTATAAATATAAAAAGGGGGAAAACAAATTTAAGTTTTCGAATACAAATATATAAAGAGTGGGCATAAATACAAATATATAAAGAGTGGGCATAAATACAAATATATAAAGAGTGGGCATAAATACAAATATGAATATATAAATGTAGGCTTGCGAGCACTCGGTCATTATATTTGGTGTCTGATTCCATCAAATACAAATAGTTATCGTTTGGTTTATATCGCCACCAAGTAAGATATGAGCAGTTGTCAAGATGGGGTCGGGTCAATGACAGTGTGACAAACACACTTATATTGTCACTAAAATGAACATCTTTCAGTTTTCAGTTTATTAGGCATTCTATAGAAAACTTGCTTTGTGCTTTATAGACCATCAATGTGTTGTTGTTTTTTTCAAATAAACGTCGGTTTGAAAACAATTCCTTGAACCATTGAATTTAAAGCTGAAAATCACCTCGTATTGAAGCCTGAAATGGCCAGGCAGCTGGTTCGTATATTGCCGATACCATTTATAGTGTCGGTTGTTTTGTACCAAGGTGCAATAAAATATAATGCTAAATATTAAAAGATCATCCTATACAAGTGGACACGGCACGCTCGGGACCCAACTTGAGTGTTGACACCGCTAAGCTGGGTCGGTTTTGTGTACATACAAAGAAGGTCGCATAGCAACAACGATAAGCCGATGCATATTCAGCACGGGCTACACAATAGTATCCAAAATGGCGTCTCTATGTTGAGTGGAGTTGGTTGTGTGCGAGTCTTCATAAATGCATCGCCAATTGAGGATCATTTTACCCGGGTAACCATAGCTCTGACTGCCTCTCTGTATGACAGTGCCGGCCGATACAGCCAAGCATACAGTGTCTACATGGTAGATACGACATTTCCAACAGGTTTGATTTTTAGGTTCGTGTATTTTCCTGATTGATTAGAGTACACAGGAAACAGGCAAGTGTGGTATTTTCCTTAGCAGCGTAAACTTTTCTGCTCGTTTCACGGTACTTTGTATGTCTCACATTTAGCTGCACGCTTTAAAATGAGGGTACTTAGAGCTCTGAAATTGGCCCGGAGACAGGTGTACCGTTTAAATACCACAAGTGAGGCGTCTGTTTTTTAATTAAATTATATAATGAAAACTGCACGTGATACAATGTTACAAACATTATAATAGTAAAAAGGATACATCCCAGGTAGATGGTCTTTGCTTACGACATTGACGCGTTCAGTTACACCCGGAATGAACAGTTACCCCTGACTTAAAGTGATATCCCCGTATGCGCTGTACACGCGGTAGTGTCTTATTCACTATTTTCATTAATTTGTTCGTTTTTTTCCCCACATAGGGCAGCTAGCAACGCGTACTGAAACCCAAGATTAATGTTCTAAACAGTTCGTTACGCGACCTGTCACCATGAATTCCAATTTATTCTTCTTCGATCAGACGGGCATTCGAAAGCGCGCGAAACGACAGAAGAAAACGCCGGATGAGCTTCCACAAAGTCTACGATTTGCCCACCTCAACCCTAGGATCGCCGCTTTTCTTAGACAACAGGAAAGAGCAAGAGCTCGGGCCGGAGAAGGTGATGATCATACACCACGAGAAGGCGACGGTAGTAACCCGACAGCTGATGGTGCAAATATTATTAACCTACGCGATTTGAAAGCAGGAATAGGAATAGGAAGAGGAGATGGATTTTTTCTTCCCGATATAAAAGACGGTAGTTTCAGCCTCCCTCTGCTAAGAACAGGTTACTTTGACAATAATTCAAACGATGGCGAAGAATTTACCCAAAGACACTTATACCAAGAAGCTATTTTTGCAGCTCCCATGCTGCTGATTCAATTAGGACGAATTCTTTATCTTTTCCGAAACGAGCATTTGGATCTTCCACGAGAACTTGTAAATCTGTTACTGAACAGCTGGATAGAACTAATCAGTGAGACTCAATACACAACAAGAGAGTGGCAAAGTCAGGCTTACCAGGAAAAGGCCATGAATAAAATAGAAGAAGAAGAACGAGAGAAAGAACAGAAAGATAAAGAAATCAAAGAAGCTGCAGAGGCTGAGGAGGCAGAAAAAGAGAAAAAAAAGAAAAAGAAAAAAAGAGCAGATGATGATGATGAGAGTAAAAAGGGGATGGTGGACACATCTGATGGAGCCCCTGCAATATTACAGTACCGAAAAGAAAGCAAAGCCCCATCAGTTGGAAGCACACCACTTAAACCCAAGACACGTCTGGAGAGATTTAAATCTATGCACAGACTTGAAGTTCGTAAGTACTTTTTATTTACTTATCATCTGAAATTGTAGAGGATACTCCCAGTGCAACAAAGGCATTCCCTTCATGTTTATAAATATTTATGAATTTCACAAATCGAAACGAGATGCTGCTATTGGCCGATTGAATAATATTGGAACATTTTATAATTGGCTGGTTATATTCAACTGTCATTGAAATTTATATGAAGATGAAAGGAATAACTTTGTTATGCTGAGAGTAAGAGACTAATGGATTAAGATGATAATTGAATAATTAATCAGTGACTTACTATGCATGTCACTCACGTCAAATGGTGGATTGAAAGTATAGGCTTGAATTGATGTCACTAACACGGATGAATATGAAATATGAAATGAAATTGTTCAATCAGTAAACTACTGTAAAATATTTTTATTTTTTTGCTTGGAATTAATTTTTGCTATTTTTGCTAAAGGGATGATTCAGTAAAAATAAAATCCAACGAATATACCATTTTTTGTATACACATGTATTTTACATTCAACTCGTCAAAAATCAGTGAAAATAAATTCAATACAAAACACCCAAAAAGTCTTTTCAGCAAAAATTTATTCCTGCTAAAATAAAGTATTTTACAGTAATTTGCACATAGAAGGCAGTACAAAAGAGAACAGCATTCACGAATCACAATAATTCTGCATTTGTAATTATTTACAGAAATTTATTGGTAACTTGAAATAAGTTTATCCTGGCATCAAACAAACTAAGAAATAAACTATTAAAAACATATGTAACCAATATATAGAGTGACTACAGTATGAGTACTGGTAATTATTTGTTACATTTACCCGGTACTACAAGTAAATTATTCACATCCATGCATTTCTTATTGAACAATATAATCTGTCTATCAAACATTTACATCAAATGTTTAGATTACTTTATTGCATTATAACTTGGAAGTTCTTAGTGACAGGTTACACTTACAATGTTTTAGGTGCCAGTAGGGTGGCAATTATAAATTGCTGAATGTGAGTATTCCCATAATTTACATGATAAACACAAATATTAACAAATGGTAATGTTTTTTTAGCAGAAACTCAAAACTGCTAGACTGAATCAATATATTCTCTCATAGTGACTATTCAGAATTATTAAATCACAATTGTTTGTGTATCTCAGATGCGAATATGCAAGCCATTTAATTGTTTATAAAATCCTCGTCTACATTTTAATTTGAAGAACTGTCAAATTTCCTATCATTTGATTTAAATTTTGACATTGGAAAAGTTGGATGGTAAACTAGTGTTTTTAGGTAGAATTCCGTTCTTGTAGGATTTTTATTATCAAAACTTGCTTTGTGCATATTTTTTTTCTTTCTTAAATCCACCCTCAAGTTTTTAATCATCAAATGTTCTGCAATGTCAATTACCTTAATGTACTTACCTCAGCTAAACCTTCACTGAGGCACAGTCCCTCTATCCCTGGTCTGGAAACGGTCATTGTATTAGGTGTGAATTGGCCTCCTTCCCTGCCAAAGGCGCATTGCAGGTGTGGGCAAAGCATTGTCACGTGATAAGTACGTGATTTGACATCGTCAGTGTTATGTATTTTTTGACAACTTAGTTGTTTATTCCAGAATTCGTGCTTTTTCACTTAATTTTAGTAGTTCTTTAATTCATCTATTTTACCAGCAGCGACACATTTTCGCAACAAATTTTCATACCTTTACCCAGATATTTGTCGTTTTTGATTTTGGGGTGATTGAAAATGAACTCTATTTTATTTACCATACTTCTCGGCACGAGACCAATATTTGTCTTCGATTTTGACATTTTATTATTGAAACATATCATTAAAAATTGGTGGGCTGATTTGTTATTTGTCACACCGCATTTTATTAATGTTAAATTGAGCGACTTTTATGGATGCTTTTTAGATCGTAAATGCAAATGGCAACGTTTTGAAATGACAATGTACTCAATTCTGTGCTAAAAAAATCATTTATATACAAACATTAAAGCATCGTTATATACTTTTGCATAGAATAAAGTCATTAGTTGTTGTATAGTTGACTTATGAACCCCCCAAGAATCAGAAATATCACAGGTTTTTCGATCGACTACGTTAACATGAACGACGCCATTTTGACAAGATTTGTTTAGCGATGTTATCATGTTGGCACGCAAAGTTTTTTCCCTATTATAACAAGAAAATGAACATAATTCCCGATAATAATCTTTGCATTGCAGGAACTGGATGTTTATGAGTTGGTAGGCTGGTTGTGATGCGTATCAT